GGGGGGCATATGACTCATGCATTATTTACGTAGGTCCTACCTTCATTTTGAACTCATCCTTGTTGAACTTGAACAGGAAGTCTGACAGGGTCCGCTGGAACAACGTGGAGGGACGCAACACCAGAACCAAGTGCAAGATCCCCGGAAACGATCCCTGAGAAAGAAACAAAACAAAGGGAGGGTGAAAGTGTTAAAAAAAAAAAAAAAAGCAAAAGGTGCGCCACACAGTCCCTATCTGCCTTTATGATTGTTTTAAAGTTAAATTTTGAATACGTTTGTGGTGGTCTTTAATTCTTTGAGGCCGTTATACAAATTCTAACAATTGCTTTTTGTTTAAGTTTGGAAATTTGAGATGTTTTTCAATACCAGAAGTACTGTGCACCTCTTTGCGTCTCATTTCTTTTGTGTCATGCCATCAGATCATCTACCAAAAGCAATAATAGGCTGTCCATCTCAAGACGACCGCCCCAATTAATCGACCTCAGCTACAAGAATAAAAAATGACTCTGCGAATTTCAGAAAGAGCGACGGCATCATCCTACTCTCCTGCGCTACATCAGCATACTTTATAGCAAGACGTCTGACGGTCACAATAAATGTTTAAAAACACACAGCGGCGCTTTTCTAATTGAAACAGCCCAAGAGGCCACTCAGCTCGAAGACTTCATCGGTTAAGGCTTCCTCCGAACCCCTCGGTGGATTGCGCAGGCTTGTTAGATGTGATAAATCAATGTGGGTTGACATGTGCACAAAGGACCGGCTCTAAGATGCTCCAACATATTCGTGCAGCTCCTCCTGTTTAAACCATCATACTCTGATGCGTGAGGCTTCGTTAAATAAGTCGGGACAAGTTTTTTTTATTTGCTACATTAAATATTTTACCTTTTTCCGTGAACACTTAAAGATTCAGTCACTGTCGCTCTACAGCTATATTCCTAAAACGACCCAAAATAGAAAGAACAACCGGTACTTTGATGAACAAGTCATTGTTAACTAAAGTACCGGATACGGTATTTTTCGGACTATAATGCGCACCGGATTATAAAGCGCAATATCAATGAACGGGTCTGTTTTCATACATAAGGTGCACTGGATTATAAGGCGCATTAAGCCAGGTCTCTCTTGTAAATGAGTCCCTGAAGCTCAATGGGATTAACCTGTCTAAATAAAGGTTGAATGAAAAATTTAACAAAACAAAACAGTCAAACTTTATTCAACTCATTCACAATAAGACAGTTCAAGTATCTTTATTCTCCCCGAGGGGAAATTAGTTCCACAGTCAGTAGGTATAAAACATCCGTAACAATACGGAAGTCATCAGTGTTCATTGAGAAGCCTGATCACTACAGGGATGAATGAGTTTTCAGGTCTGTTCATTCCACATCTGGGCAGCAGATACCTGCGTCCAGATGGAAGCAACCTGAACTCACCATGGAGTGGGTGATCAGGATCTGCCAGAATCAGCCTGGCCTTGTTCACTGATCTCGCCTTGTGTAGGTCAGTGAGGTCCTGTCGGGCTATGCCAGCAGTTTTGTTGCACATCCTGACAATCCCCGAAAGATTGTTATGTATAAGTAAGAGGTATAAGAGTTTGTTAGGCAATAACTCTCAACATTGTTCAGTTGTACCACATAAAATCGGTTTGAGGTCAGTAAGCACACTGGATTATAAGGCTCACTGTCGATTTTTGAGAAAATTAAAGGATTTTAAGTGCGCCTTATAGTCCAAAAATATGGTATATTAAACAATCGTCGGCAAACTGTTTGACAGCAATCTATAGCAACGGTCTGGACAAACAAAGACCTGGTTTAAACTTTGACCTTGTAGCAGGGGATGATGAAAAGATTACCGACACGCTGTCTAGTGGTGGTACAAATTCATATCAAGTTTCGTTAAATTTCTCCAAGCGGTTTAGAAGTTATGGGCGGGACTAGAGACTGTACAGCCACATTAATAGTGACGATAATCCGTCTGCCTTTTGACGGGCGTACCGTGACACAATTTTTTTTTTTTTGTCTTACACACGCATCCTGTTTAAAGAAATCAGAAAATTCAACACAGCTCAAACAATCCAACAGAAAACATCATTTTCTTTGTCATTTTTCTGCATTCATCACCCTCCACCCAGGACATACTGAGCTAACATGATTGGATGCCATCAAATTCAATAAACCCTGAGAGGTCCCGGTTTAATTTGTTGCCTTGCATTACCATGACAAAGCACACTCTGCTCTGCGGCCGCCTGCCTCGCAGATGAAAAGCACACATTAATAAATGATAAGGATTAGGAGGCTGACCGGGATGATTTGTATTTTCTCAGAAAGGAGGCAAGGAGGAACACCTCTCCTGGCATGTCCTTTAACGACCTCCACATTGTCCTCCTGTGGCGTTTTCCAACCACCCCCACCTCTTTAAGGCAAGGAGCACCGCCATTTACGAGGAGTTGCAGCTTTAATCCTATTCCACCTGTCTTTCAAAGTTGCTAGCATTTGTTGCAGCAGACTCGTCTTCCTGTTTGCGCCTGCTGACAGAGCCATCTGCCTCTCCTCCCTGCAGCGATGCTCCTGCAAGGCTCCATATTTATCACTCTGAATCCCAAAGGTGGGCTTGCAACAAGGACAAGCGTCCCATTATCCATTCGGACCGGAGGGCCTGCAGGTTCTCCTCCTGAGAGCTATTCCAGTGTTTCACTTTAGACGGTCGGTGGACTTGTTGGGGCAGAATGATGAAAAGCACGTTTTGACGTGTTTTAATTTGGTGCATCTCCACATGAATCAAGGATGGTGCATCTCTAAACGAGGATCCAGCAGAGTCTGTTGAATGTTTCGGAGGGTTTGGATTGTTTCGTTAACCCTCGTGTTGCCCTTTAACCTTACGACCGTTCGTGTTCGTTAGGGGGAAAATCGACCACCTTGTTTCTTCTTAAAAATACTATTTTTAAATACCGTATTTTTCGGACTATAAGGCGCATTAAGCGAAACAGAACAGTCAGATAAGTTAAACTTTATTCAACTTATTCACAATAACCACATAAAATCGGTTCGAGATCAGTCAGCACAACCAGAATTCATACATAAGGCGCACCTGATTATAAAACTCACTGTCGATATTTGAGGAAATTAAAGTTTAAGTGCGCCTTTAAGTCAGAAAAATATGGTAGTTTTTTCCACAATAAACTAGTCAGTCTTTTAGAGCCATCTTAGCTGGAGCACAATGCCTCCGGTAATGACGTCCTGCTTTGGGAGAAACCAACGGGAGTCGCCAATCTGAGCCGTGGAGAATCCGATTACGCAGCCTGCATGCATGCGAAGCTTTTTCTTTTTTTTTTAAATAAATGGTTACTTGTGCACATTACAAGTGAGGTTTTGCTCTTTACATCCAAACTAAAACTATTTTGTTGCACAAGATGAGAGGCGGGACTCTACAGAGACGTTTAGCCGAAAGAACATTCTGCCTCGATAAGTCGATTCGTGTCTGTAAATTTTTAAAGAGGCTCCTAAATATAAAAGCAGCACCCCATCTAGTGGGCTAATATAAGAATCAAAAGTAAAAGGATAGAGGTAAAAATAAAAATATTACTGAGAGGAATGCATTGTTCAACACTGTATTTATGGTGTATTTTAATGAAGCACATTTTTCCCTTCAGGAACTCGAGTCTGTCGTAAAGTTACTGTGAGGTTATGATAGCTTTTGAAAATGAAAGATTACATTTATAACCTGTGTTCTAATGAGCTGAAGCAGACTCGCGGAGGCAACAGTTCCATCTTAAAAAGGTTTACTTTAAGTTTACACATTTAACGTACAAAATCACCAGCCCTGGGTCATTTTGGAAACGCCACACGGACTCCGCAAAATGGCCCCAAGCATCGGTTAACGCACACCTTTCTTCAGAGCTTGGCCACACCTCCAGGAAGTAGTCGCCACCGTTGACAAATGGGAAACCCTATCCTACATCATGTGACCAGTTCTCCACCAATGATAGCTCGCCATCTTGTGTTCAAAATGGAGGCTGCGTGGCTGTTGGGATTTGTTGGCGTGTAACTAGAACTACATTTTCTACCGGAAAAAAAAAAAACAAACAAAAAAAATCGGATCTGCCTTGTTTTAACACGCGATATCATACTATAAACAACTTTTAGTACAAATAATTACACATTTCGGTAAGATAATATATAATTCTGATAAAAAATACACTTAAAATTCTGACAAAATAAAAAAAGAAGGGTATTTTAGGATTTGTCAGCAAAATATCTCATGAACAAAATGTAATAAAACTCACAGATTGGACGATTAAGTTTTGGAGACGAATTAAAAATGGTTGTCGCCGCTAATAAACCTTAATTCAGTCCGTTTTACAGATATTCTAGAAAAAAAAATGAACGTTTTAATTAAATTTGACTTTTTATTTTTCATGTTGATGAGTCATGACATCAGGAGGAAAGGAACGTTTGGTCAAACATAAAAACGTGTCTTCAGAAGCTAAAAAAAGACAAAAGCTGGTCGTTTCCCTCCATCAAACAGCTGCTCGCGTCCTTGAAAGCTCCTCGACGGAGACAACCTTCACCCTCCAGTGAGTCATTGGCTGGTGGACAAAGCAGGCGCGTCCTCCGGGGACGTCCGCCTGCTCCTCGTGCCTTCAGGTTCGGTCAGAACGCTGTGGAGGTTTAACTCGGCTGTCTTTGAATAAAACATGAACGAGCTTCTGAGCAGAGCTGGAGCGAACAGCGCTTTAGATGTTTATACATTTTCCTACTCTGCTCTGCTTTTCATGCTACGACTCAGTCAGTTTTACAGCTTCTGAGCTAAAATCTTGTGTGGTAGTAGCTGAGAGTCGTCCCAACACGGACTCAGACGAACATTAAGTAAACCTTAATGGTTTTGGCACAAGATATTGAAGAGGGTAGGAGTTACACCGTGAAGAACAGAGGGAAGTGTTTTTTGTTTTTGCTTGTGGATGGCGGGAGCAGTTTTATCCACCACCAGGGGCTGTGCCATGGGGTGACCAATGGTGGCCTTGGCCACCATAGATTCATCTTCGACCACCCCACAGGCCACCATGATCATTTCAAGAACCTATATTTTACAGTAAAATCTAAAAAGCGTGACCAGTTTTACATAAATATATGGAGTGGCCATCTTGGATTTAAATGTGGC